CCTTGCCCGCTTTGAATAGGAGTCCATGGGTTAAAGTGGGCAGGAGAACTGGGTTCCCTTCTACATGGGAAGGGAAACGGCACAAAGTGGTAGCAGAGCTGGGTTCTCGACCCACATCGGCAAGGGGCAGCGGCTCAAAACACAGGTAATGTTTTCCTACAAAACGTTAATCTTCACTTAGAAGACTGATCCTGAGAATAGAGGTAGAATTCTCCTCCGAATCGCCGGTATCCATCTATAAGACTACCTAGGAGCTTTGTTTCACATAATTTTCTTCAAAGGAAGTGCCCGAGCGCACCTCGAGGACACAACAAAGAAATTGGGCCTTATCCTATACAGCGCTGGCTATGGCGCTGTCTCGGTATTTGCATGATGTAACTGAATAGAATCACGAGGCACTTCAGCATAGCAATTATTTGGTAGGGACTGTCATCTCGAGGCTGCAGAATCCCGGTAAGACATGAGAATTGGTGAGAACTTACCTCTGGTGTCCAGATATTTATATAAAGACAGTCTTCGTCTTGAGGTACGGGCGCCATGTTGGATATCTCCTGAAGCTGAGGGCACGCAGGCGCAAAGCTCCCGGCGAACAGCGATGTGCGATTCCAGCCGGCATGTCGCTCTGGGGGCTGTGAGCATATATTCACGTCAACGTCGGTCAGAAAATGGGCTATTTTGACTTCAGGGTTTACATAATTGTTCTCGCCCTACAGAATTGCCGGGATTTTACCACAAATTCGGCCACGACCGAATCAGCCAATCAGGATGCGCTAACTTAATGAGAATGAGTTGATTTAATTAGGATGAGCAAAGTTTTTCGGATTATCTAAGTTAGTCGGGCGAACGTAATTTTTTTACAAGGGCACTTCCATTTTTTACAGACGGTAGGATTCCTTGGGCGGGTGATCAGTCCGTCGCAAGGCCTCTACCTAAACCCAGGACAATACAGACACAGAATAAACACATACACACACCAAACATCAATACCTTGAATGGGATTCGAACCCACAATCTCAGCGTCAGAGCGAACGAAGACAGTTCATAACTTAGACCGCACGGCTACTGTGACCTGCGAGCTAACTTAATTATGGAGAGGTAAGTTAGTTAGGATGACCTAAATAAGCTGGTAACATTACAATAGAAATACGGAGGAAGGTGTCCAAGGGAAAAAAATGGAGGATCTTAGAGGAAAGAGGTGATACGCCCAAAGAAGTGAGATAAAATTAATTGAGAATAAAAATAAATAAATGTTCGTTATAATTCACCCCTTATCATTTTAGTTTGTGGGCATGCTGTAGCGTAGTTGGTTGAGGCATTATGCCACAAGCCCGAAGGTCACGGGTTCGATTCCCGATGAGGTAGATCCCGAGGCGGGCTATGGCCCTGTAGTCGAGTACCGGGAATCTTCCTGGGGGTAAAGGGCGGCCGATGCGTAAGGCTGACATCACCACCGCCCTCTGTGAGCCGATTGTCTAGAAAATGTGAGAGCCTCGACGTCTCACAACCCTATGGGCCTCCACGTACTGTTACATGGATAGCTTTATGATTATCTTTTCTTTCCTTTCCTTATTTTAGTTTATCTTTCTTTTGTTTTGTTTATCCACTCCTTAATCCTCGCTTCTCATTATGTTCCAGTGCTTCAATAAGACTGCCATTTGGTTAATATTTACTTTGGTTTAATCTTTGTGATTATCGGGTTGGATAATTGAGGATCTATTTCATGGAAATAGCGACTCAGGTCTAGAAAACCGAGATTAACGGCCGTGGGGATTCGTTGCGCTGACCATGTGACACCATCTATCCGCAAAAGTTGGTACGAACTTGCCGACAAGCGACGGTCGCTAGGTCGGTATCGTTCGCTTGCGGACTACAGGCCACGGATTATTGGGTTGGATGAAGTGTCCGAGGACCATGACGGGCTTTGCTCTTAGCTTTCTTAAACTTCTTAGTTTCACTATCAGAGAGCGAGTGAGTCGGTTCGTCACAAATTATAAGCGAGTTTGCCTTAGCCTTAAGGCGCGTACACATTACTTGTGCTCATGCTCGTCGGGAGACTCGTCTGGCTTTTACTTGTGCTCGTAAATCTTCGTCCACACTACTTCAGTTGCTCGCCAGGCTTCGGCGCGTGAGGATCTGTATATTTACTCGTAGTGTGTATAGGCTGTAGTCGTATTTTAATTTATTGGCTATAGTTTTTAAATTTAAAATTTAAAATTTTCTTGTCTTGTGACTTGTCATATCGTCCACATTACTCGCGAGCATAGCGAGTCACACAAGCACGACAACGAGTTATGTGGACATGCCTTTAAATGTTACTTACAGCAAACCTCAAGTCTCCTGTCGGTGGAGCAGCATACGGCACGCCGAGGAATGCATTTATAACCCGTCTGTCGTCCGTGTAAACGCTGATCTGTAAAGAGACAACACTGTTAACCCAGAGGTAAAACAGTCGGAGCGTGAAGCATGCCTCAGCATTGCGAGATCAGTGTCATTAACAAAGTATCTGTGACACTGGTCAAATTCTTACCTATACTTATATCACGGAAGGAAGTCCGCGTCTCCCTCGAGCTGTTATGTTTCCCCCTCCAGCTGACTTCTTTATATTCCCCTCCAGTAGTTCAGCCATTTTGTTCACTCGAACGTTGGTAGTGATAACTTAGCGATAAGTACGTTCTGGCTTTTTGGCATAAGCTACAGGAGGCTTGAGGGGAATACCAGGGCAAGAAAAGAGGGGAAGTCTCAATCGACGGTATCCCCACCATATATGGAACTTCTTTCCGTGACTTCATTGTAGTATTTTAAAGAGACTGAACGCACAATAATGTGGGTCATTTCATTGAAGAAGAAAGCGAAACAAGGAAAATCAATTGATGTAGAATGAGAAATAAGACATTAAAAAGAAGGGATTGAGAGATAGGGAAGGAAAAAGAAGGAATATGAGAAAAGTAAGAAAAAACGTCAGGTTCTCACAACGGTGACTACAAGAGTCCCGGCTTCTGGGTTGTATCACCGTGTAGTTGCTGCTTCTAGTTTCTTGCTTTGGTTACTTTTCTATCCTGAAGATAGAGGCAATAATTTCCTCCGAAACTTCGGTTTGCCTGCGAACTACACGAAGACAACACTCTTCATTAAGAAAGAAGATGGGAAATAAACTGAAAGAAGAGAAGGAAGGAAGGAAGGGAGGATAAAGAAGCAGAAGGAAGAGAAAAAGAAAGTAAGAAATTATCTCGGTTCGGAAGGGAAGAGAGATAGATTTACGACACAACCGTCAACTTGAAAATATCTGCAGCTGATGGTACTTACACCTCTCACGGTCCCTTGCCTCAGAACGACCATTGGTTCTTGTGCCACGGTTACTCTGATGATCTGTAGCCATATGAAGCACACAAGGACGGGGAATAGATCCATGTTTCTTACGAATCTCTCGCGATTACTCAGTATTTGTCTTCACAGTCTTGGGGCCGCCTGGACAGGGGCGCTGTACGCGTTTAAGAGGCATAGCAGTGACGCCTTACAACAGAGTTCATTGCTGTAAAATGTAAAAGTTAGCACCATGATATTAAGCTGCGTGCGCATAGGGCTCACAACTTCACCGCCATCTGTGAGAGGACTGTCTAGATAATGTGGGAGCCTCGACGTCTCACAACCCTATGGGCCTCCACGGCCTGTTACAGGGATAGCGTTATTTTTACTTTTACTTACCATTTAAGACGTAGGCGGGAGGGGAGATATAGCTCCACGAATACATAACCTCAACATTGGATGAAGGTGAATGGAGAATTTTACGCTTATGCCGCTTTATCTGTGGGGAAGAGATCCACATGTGCCCATTTAATACGAAGGCTGTGTGACCCCAGAGACGGTCAGGATGGTAAAGGAAGGGACAGAATATCTGCCCCTCCATATTTATTTGAGAGATAAGCTACCATATCGACAGGCTCTTTGTGCTGGGTCACATAGCAGAAGAAAGCAGACAGGCACACACCGAGCACGTTGGCTCAGTCGGTTACATATATTCCAGAGGTGTTCGATCGAAGTTCGGTCAGGAGACCGAGTATACTGACTGATGATTTTCTTGGTAATTGTCAGGTTAGTACCTCATATTAGACAACGACCACTTCCTTCCGATTCCCTTTTCACCTACCATAACCGTTCGACACCATAAAACGTTAGCAATTAATAGCGTCGGTATATAACTCTGGAAGGGAGAAATCTGTTTGTCGCGTTAAAGGGGAGGGCCACAGACTGGGGGCGTTTGAGAAGAGGGTGTTGAGGAGGATATTTGCACGTAAGGGGGGTAAAGTGAGAGGAACTTAATAATTTAGATTATATGCCAGACAATATTATGAGATCAAATCAAGGAAGTTACGTTGGACAGGGCAGGTAGAACGCAGCAGAGAGAAGTGCATACAAAATTTTGTAGGTAAATCTGAAGAAAGGAAAATTATTTGAAAGACCTGATCTTTGCTGGGAATGTAATAATAGTAAATGGCAAAGTTGTCCCTGTTCTTAACTAATTAAGCACTCCGCCATGAAGGTGTATGGGGGAGTGGATGTATAGATCCTCGTTTTCTTGACCTCGGCACTAGTTTGAGGTGAGTGGTTATTTTCACGCCCCAGCCGCTTTACCTCCGGGGAAAGAGCCCCTGGTACCCATTGTATAGGAGGCTGAGTGGGCCCCAGAGCCAGTCCGGACGACACGGAAAAGAAAAAATTCTTGTCCCTACTGGGACTCGAACTCCGGCCCCTCGGATATCCAGCCCGTAGCCAGTCGCTATCCCGGCCCCAAATGTAATATTAATACGTATCTTCAAGATACATAGCAGGATTTCATGGACTTAATTCACATGATTAAGGCTAGAAGCCACGCTTTTGTGAACACGATAATGAACTTTTGGGTTCCGTATCTGCGGAAATATTTGACAAGCTGGGCAACTTTTAATTTCTTAAGTAGGAAAAGACAACAGAAAACCATGGATACTTCGTAAATTTATCATTTTCTTTTCTTTTTTTTTTCAACATCCTACCGTAATATTTTTCACAAAATTGGATTGAAAAATGTCAGTAGACAGTCTACTTTCTTTCGTCCGTTGTAGTCTATACGTGAAAGGAACACAGCGTGAGAGAATCTCCCTCTTTTCACCCCCCACCCCCCAAAAACTGTTATCTCGTGTGAGACAATCCACATTGCCTTCTCACTGAGTGACAGAGAGACAGACGTGAGCTATAACCTGTTTTCCACATACCCAGCATGCATTGTGTTCGACGAACAGCGGAGAACTCAACGCCATCGAAATACGTCACGTGTTTGTTCAGTAGTTTTAAGGGCTTTTTATCGACAAAGAAAGCTTTCAGAGGATCAAACCCCACACCTCTCCCTTCATTCAAAAGATGATTTAATAGACAATGAGCCCATCTGTTGACTGCGTTCTGATATGCTTTTCATCACTACTTTTCCACTTATTTAAGAAGTTATTACCGAATGTTCTGATCATTGAAATCTGCTTTCAATTGAACGTCTTTTTATGGTGTAATAACAAAGAAGAGTTTCTATGGGAACCAGAAAAAGGAAAACAACATAAAAAGACAATACAAAGAAGGTTGGTATTGAATTCAAAGGCAGAAAACATTAATAAATGAAAGGAAAATGAAATATGTTCGTAAAAATTAGAGTTTTGAAAAGTTCGAGGTCAGAGATGATTAAGTCACGGATGGCTAATTGCACACTACAAATTTTCTTATATTTTCGATAACATATATGAAATATGAAGAAAGCAGTCTTCTGGGATTTGGCACCGTGTATATGTGGTGTTAACCGACGTTTCGGAGGAACGTATCGCCCCCATATACACAGTGCCAAATCCCAGAAGACTGCTTTCTTCATAGTCACCGCCGTGAAAGCCTCAAATCTTACATATATGAAATATGTTGTATTTGAAATTTTCATATCCGTGAATATGAAGATTTTTTTTTCTGGCTTGTAACGCCATGTATCTCACAAACATTTCCATCTTCAGGATCGAAGAATAAGCAAAGTTTATCTTATCATCTGCTTCTGCTGCTGTTTTGCTTTGCTTACCCTTTCAACCCTGAAAATGAAGTCGGTATATTTTTCCCGAAACATCGGGCTCTGTTCTAACGACATGGTGTTACACCCTGACCACATTCTTCATAATCACACATCACATCCAACCATAAATATTTCTGTACCCATAAGTGCAGCGTCATAAGGTAACGAAAATTCTGGCCCTTGTTATTCTACAATTTAAGAGATAATTTTCTGTATAGGTAGGTCGGGGAGACATGGGACACTCGCAGCTTTTCGCACTTCTGACATTAGAAGGAAGTTGCGCGCGCATCTCACTCTATGAATTTAGCAGTAGCCCAAAATTCCTTAACAAGAATCGCTATTCATTTTCCTTCAAATATGGATTTTGGCCAGTTATCCCCCATCCATACCTAAATATTATATGTACGAAGGTTATATCTGGCCACAATCCCATTTACTTCATCTTCAGTATGACAAAGGTATAGCTGTTCTCCAAGAAGATAGCGGTATCTCCCGCACTTACCCTACGAGACAAACGCCCGTGCTGTAGTGTGAGGCTGGTCCAAAACACGATCTGATCCGTCCCCTTTGCCCTAGCGTTGTCAGTGGAAGTGACAGGCTTCATGGGGAAATAGCTTTATCGTCACAATAGTCCGGGGCAATCACTTCCGGTTTGCTTTGCTGCTATTGTCCAGTTTCCGGCAACGCGGAAGGTCATTCCGTTATAAAACCCAGTACCAATTTTACCAACAGATTCAGGCCATACAGCATGTATGGTTGCGTGTTTATGAACTCTTTGCACCAAGTGAATGCATAATGGATATTTGTATGCCTGACTATTTCATCTCCCAAGCAACTTAAAGGAAGTTGATGAAGTTTCATATCTTCTTTATTTAATCCTAGTTTCCTAAAGTAGGCTTATGCGATCTCTATGCTGTCTGTGTGCCTGTTTATTCTTCATTATCAGCTTTTGGTTTCCTCAACCAATCTTTATGAAATTTGGTATGTATGTCATGACACCTGAGCCCATCTCAGCGGCGTGCTTCATAAATCCCTCCCATCCAGCCGTGTCTCTATATGTATCCACTATCGTTGCTAGGCAACGGCTAGTTAAAAACGTTACCACGGCAACATATACACACTCATCAATAGGTGATTAGTTCTTCCCAGAACTTCTTGTACTTTTTACTACTTTTTAAGTCTGTGCCTCCTCCAACTTAGGACATAACCTAACATTTGTTTTATGAATAACATTTGAATCTTAACCAACATCAACCCGACGTAACTCAAATTTTATGTGGAACTCAAATTTAAACTAAATTTCTTAAAACCATCTGTGAGATACAATTTATATCGTGCCCAATTCTGCAAATTTATTTCAAATATATTTTCTTATTTTTAAGGAAATAGAAAATTGTATTTATATTAAGTAATATCTTGTGGAGTGTGACACCGTATAGTCTGCTAAGAATTTACCCACGATTTATAAGGACATACTCCTTCCATTTTCAGGGTAAAGGGCCAAATCAGGAATTCAGTAAAGGAATCACCGAATTCTAACGTAACTAATTTTGACTCACAGAAAGCACAGAAATATATTTACATCGTATACATTGCAACTGGAAGAGAAAAGAAGTTAGGAATTGTGAACACAGGGTAACAGCTCTGACGCAATAGCTCCAATATGCGACGAAACAGCACAAGAATAGGCCTATATTCTGTTGAATTATTTAGAAAACCACCAGACTTATGGGAAGCGTATGTTGGCATGAAATTTGTATTTAATTTGTCTATAAAGAATTTGCACCGAATATTTAGCAAATTACACGCAAGTTGCGAGCAATATCTAAAGCAGATATTCATGTGACGTGTCCGCCATTTATGTCCTATTTTAACCGAAATTATCATCCAGTAAAACGCCCCATTATCTAATTTCATGAATATATGTTCATTTGTCCTCGAATCGTTATATGCAGATAGATGAAATCATCTTAATGCTGGAGTGTACTATGTCCATTGATATCAATCTTCAGGAAACTGCGTTTGAATTTAATGAAGCATTTGCAATTTATATGTGATTTAGAACAGGACACGTGCTGACATCTCTCGCTTGCAAATAAGATGAACCTGTGGAAATGTGTGGAGATCATAAACGTGCATTACCCCGTTTTTTATCCAAAAGTTGAGATAGAACACTTCGCTACTCAGCAGACTGTAGGCAGAAACAGGTTCCCATTAAAGCACATATATGTAATGTAACGGAGCCGAGATAGCTCAGTCGGTATAGCGATTGGCTACGGGCTAGACGACCGAGAGTTTGGGGTTCGAGTCCCTGTAAGGTCAAGAATTTTCTCTTTTCCATTTCACCCGGTCCGGCTCTGGGGCCCAGTCTGCTATCCAATTGGAACCGGGGGGCTCTTTCTCCGAGGGTAAAGCGGCCAGGACGTGAAGCTGACCACTCACCTACAACTAGTGCTGAGGTAAAGAAAATGTGGATCTATACATCCACTCCCCCACACTCCTTCATGGTGTAGTGCATAATTAGTCAAGCACAGGGACAACTTTACTTTTTTTTACATATAATGGAGCTGTGTACCCCAAGAACGCTATACATATATGCATATATATAATGTGTGTATATACAAGCAGAGCTTCGTAAAGTCATCATGACTGCTCGAGTCTGACAGTGTAACGGCTAGAGGTGTAACCTTAGAACAAACATAGTGTCACTCTTGCACGCAGGTCTAAGTACAAATGTTAAAAATACACAATCCCAAAGCCAAGAGCTCACGACACACACACGTCTTAGCCTTAAGGCTACTTAAAGAGGATTAAATTTCCACCTCAGAGTTGTTGGAATAAAAAAAAATAAGTTCGACGTCATTGTTTTTTTTATATAAGTGCCATAACAGTGCTCTGACGCCCCGACAGAGTCACCGTCCTGGGTCATCCGGTCATGACTAAATCCCCGGTTTCATCAGTACAGAACTGTCTAAGCACTGAAAAGGAACAGGTACTAACCTTTCGAAGGAAATTTCTGCCTCAGTTTTCGACCCTGAATATGATATCCACGTACCAAACTTCACGGCATTACATCACCTTCATATTCACCACAGCGATAATAACCTATCTCTTTCTTTAGGTCACAGGAATAATTTAAAATTTACCTTGCTGTATGCCGTATACAGAATAAGAACAATGCAGTTCATGGCAACGCAGATTGTCACTTGTTTCGGTGAGGTCTGAACAGAACAGGTCACTTCACGGAACTGCGGTAGGCCGCCCCTATACCGGGGGACAGCCCTCTCATGGCAGTGAACACCTGCCGTCAGCCGGAAAGCAGGACGCACACGGCTCAATGCTGCTGGCACCGTCACTTGTTTCCATATTTATTGGGTCACATTCTCGGCATCTGCTCCTACAGCAGCACAGTATGGTTACACGCCAGTATTTTTCTCTCATGAGGCGAACCTGAGTCCACTTGGTACAGCGTCCCAATGTTCGGCCCACTGTAGGGGTCCCAGTTGTGGAGCAATCGGTAGAATATGAATTGGCAGGGGAAACCGAAGTACTCGGAAATAATCTGCCCCAATGCCAGTTTGTCCACAACAAATCCCACATGATCTGATCCGGACTCGATCCCGGGCCGCCGCGGTGGGAAGTCGGTGACTAATCGCCTGAGATATGTCATGGCATTACACGCAAGTTCATATGGATCAAACTCATCATCCTTCTGGTGTATTCATATCAGGTCGGGTCTGGATGGGTAAATTGTTTCTGGTCCTCGCCAGCACAGTCAGTGGGTGAGTGGGCGCCAGCAGATTCACTCTCCAATAGAGAGGGAGTGACAAGTAGCAGTCAAATCTTTTCCTCACGTCACACGCAAGTGTCTGGAAAGAAAAAAAATGTTCATCGGTCCCAACGAAGCCTGAGCCTAAGACTAGCTGTGCTGTCGAAGGCCAGTGCAACCATTATTGGTTCCTAGTCCCGCGGGACTCATGGCCGTATTTCACTGTCTCATGACTTTTGCAGTTGTGCGTTTCGGGTATTTGTACATGTATGTATATATACGTTTTGTATGTTTTAGATTTATGATTGTCATTACGCAATTTCGTGTTACCTTAGCAACGAACTCTCGAGCGTTAACACATTGCATGTATTAAGATGTGTATTAGAACACGAACAAGCGAACAGTCTTTTTTTTCTGTGTATCGTGGTTATTCTCTTAGTAATGACAATATTTTGACGTGGATTGTGTGAAGTGTAGTCGGCTTCGACGCATCATTCGATAACACGTAAGACTGTAAGGGAATACGGGAGAAAGCAGGGGAAATAAACAATATGAAAGCCAATGAAACAAATGATGGGATTATCCGTTCCATTTTCAACGGAAATTACGATAATAAACATACCTAATTAGTCCTTTGTAAATGCGGATATGTTAAAATACTTGGAAACGACGCTGAAAAGAAAAATCGAAATTTCATTTACAAGGAAATTAAAAACATATTAAATTACAAGAATATCTGCTGTAGTTCACTTCACAAAGTTCTTTTCTCTGCCCCTCTGTTGCCTAAATCAGGGGACTACAATATTTTACTTGTTCTCTTGTATAAGCTTGAAACTTGGCCTCTTTCCCTGATGGAAGAACATAAATTGAGTGTATTTGAGGACATTGTAATAAGGACAACATTTAGGCCTAAGAGGACGAACATAACAGAACGTGGTATTCCCGTAGTCCCTCTACACGGATGTTGGCAAATTACTTCGTTTAGGCCACAAATGCTTCCAATTAATCTATCATCCTACCATTCGACGCTATATTTTTTTCGCTAGTGGGGGGTTGGAGTCCAGCTGGGTCCACTCGGCACGGCGGCAACTGATTCGCCTATTGTACCTGCCCTGGGTGATTATGATGATGGAGAATTTGGTGGAATGAGGATTGGCAGGGGAAACCGAAGTACTCGGAAAAAAAACCCGCCCCAGCGCCACTTTGTCCACCACAAATCCCACTTTACCAGACCCGGGATCGAACCCGGGCCGCCGCGGTGGAAAGCCAGCGACTAACCGCTTGAGCTATGGCGCGGCCATTCGACGCTGTATAGTCTGAGATATTGGCAGCGTCATGGCGCCTATATAATGATTGAGCTCCGGGCTGGACGACCGAGGAGTAGGGGTTCGATTCCCAGCAGAGGCAAGAGTTTTCTCTCTTCCCTACAATATCCACACTGGCTCTGGGGTCCATGCAGCCTCCTATCCAGTGAGTACCATACTGTCTTCCCTGCGGATGAAGTGGCCGGGACGTGAAGCTGAACACTCACCTCCTTATAGTGCCGAGGTTAGGAATCTTGGAATACTTCCACTCCCCCCATACGTCTACAAGGCTTGGTGCTTGTTTCATTACTTGGATAACTTTGCTTTCTATCTCCGTTGTTCTAAATTCCTGACTCTTATAGGACTGACAGAGCCTCTGAAAATGTGCCACAGTTCAGATATTTGGGAACGACGATAACAAATCAAAACCTGATTCAGGGGGAAATTAATAGGAGATTGAACTTGGGTAATGTTTGCTACCATTCAGTCCAGAAACTTTTGTCTTCTCGTCTGCTGTCCAAAAACATAAAAATTAGAATATACAAAACTATAGTTTTGCCTGTGGTTCTGTATTGTTGTGGAACTTGGTCTCTGACATTAAGAGAGGATCATAGGCTGAAGGTGTTTAAGAACAGGGTGTTGAGAAAATATTTGGACCGAAGAGAGATGAAGTGACAGGAGGTTGGAGAAAACTGCATAATGAGGAGCTTCATAACTTCTATTCTTCTCCAAGTATAATTAGAATGATCAAGTCAAGGAGGATTGGATGGGTAGGGCATGTAGCACGAATGGGGGAGAAGAGGAACGCATATAGGATATTAGTGGGAAAGCCAGAAGGAAAGAGCCCACTGGGGAGACCAAGACGTTTATGCGTGGACAATATTAAAATGGAACCTATAGATAGGATGACGTGGAATGGATTGGATTGATCTGGCTCAGGATAGGGACCAGTGGAAGGCTCTTGTGAACACGGAAATCAAACCTCGGTTTCAATAAATTTGGGAGAAATTCTTGAGTAGCTGCAGAATTGGCGGCTTCTCAAGAAGGGCCCAGTTCCATGGAGTTAGTTAGTTAGAGGACTGTATCATGATATTGGAACTGAAAGAAACCGTATCATTGAGAATGGACATGTACTTCTGCTTATGTTGACTATTGCAGGCAGTAAGCAATATTTTAAATACAAGCAGAGTAATGAATGAGCCATCGCTACGAAACTTTACAGACTCATAGAAATTATAATTATGGAATCCACAGAAAAGAAACATTCTACCACTGACTGAATGCAGGATGAATTACTGTGTGACGAAACATGAGAAAGAGAGGGAAATCCCCATTGTGTTTCCTTCTGCTGACAGGCTGTGTTTAAAAGCAGGAAATGACTCTCCCGTGTCCGATGGAATTTTCACTATCTGATAATTGATTCAAAATTCAGTTTGTTTTAATTTCACTTCGTTCAGGATACACTACATGAACTGGTTACAAATACAAACAATGTAAAGATTGCAACACCTTATTCACAATAAGCTGATGGTTGAAACAAATACCAGATTCCTAACATCACACGTATCAAACCAACCTTATTTTTTATCCCAGTACTAACCTCCATCTTACACTTTGCTTTCTGCTTCCTTTTGCTTGGTTCTCTCTCTTGTACACTGAAGATGGTGGCAGTATTCCCACCGAAACGTCGTTGATGTATCAGACTACATGCTGTTACATCCTACAGTATCATATTCTTGACTGATTATTGGCAAATTTGCCTAAATGAATACTGGTTGAAAAGTGTTGCACGAAGACTTCCGGAAAATAAAAGTTAAGACTTTCTCCTTGGTGTGAATTCTGATAATGCATTAATTTAGTTTTCTTTTCATATTAATTTCATAATCCGAAAATTTATTCTTCTTGTGACTTTTTTCTACCAAGTTTTTTGGTCCATTCTTAAAATAAGGGGAAAAGGAAAAGATTATTTCTACCCCCCCCCCAGCCATTTAATAAAAACCTAACAGTGGATCTAGGCGGGTTAATACAAGTGAGAATGAATGTTGAGATGGAGAGAGATTTTCTCTTTTTCTCTCGTTTCAAACGAGAGACATAACGGATGTAGAAGAGCGGGTGAAGACATCCGCTTTGCAAACGGAAATTCCAGCCGCCTGAAATGTTGTGTGCGTCTATTTCCGCTGCTGCGTCGTCGTTACTAGCGATGGGATACTGTTTTATGTTCTGTGATGCTGTTCAAGATTAGTATAAAGACTGAAGCAAACCGTCTTCTTGGATTTGGTGCCATGTATATTTTATGTTAGCCGACGTTTCAGAGGAACGTATCACCTCCATCTTCAGGGTAGAAGAAAAAAGAAAATCCGCGAGGGAAAAACCAGCGTGAGCAGGTGCTGACAGACTAATGTCGACCCCAAAAGCGAGTGAAATTCACAGCTTCACGCTCCGGCCGCTACATATGTCCTGGATACCTAATGGTTAGGAGGATATGTGACCCAAGAGGCAAGTATCGACGCCGTGAACAACAGATCTCAGTTTAGTCCATGGCATAGTCACTAAATCAACTGAGCTACCCCGGTTTCTAACTCTTTACTGTACACACAGTGCGATTTGAAGACTATGGAAAGGGTTCTCAATTCTCTGTTCTGATTAGTCGTAGTAGATTTCTGTGTTCCTAATATTAGAATTGTCGTTTCCCTTGCTGTATAGGCTACACGCTTCGGTTGCCTCTGAAATGTGCCTCTCTTGCGTCTCTCCTCCCCCGTAGAGCTCCAGATATCACCATACAATGTGAGAGTTGAAATGGGAAATTCTTAGGGACGACGTTTTCATTTGTAAGCATAAAAAAGTGGACTTTACTGAACCCGCTGTTGGAATAGAGTTGAGACTGGTTGCATATGGCCTAGGGAGGAACTCCACCTTTCAAGAGACGGGGCTGATTTGCATTTAAACTTTGTAGAATTGCGTCATGCTGAAATGAGAAATATAATACCAGAAATAAAAATGACAAAACTGATAACAAAATTTCGCAGCGTATGAAGGCGTCTACAGACTCGGGTCAGAGACATCATGAACACAGATTTCACCCCACCTCCCATTCGTTTGCCCAGCTGCTACCTCCTCTATTCGTGCCTTCCCCTACTCTCATTAGTTGTCACTTGCATTA